GCAAGCATAAAACATTGAGTTTTAACCAGTACTGCCACCAAAAACAAAACAGGAGCCCTGTTTTCAATTTTCTTTCAGACAAGCATCGCTTGCCCCTTTATAAACTAAAACTGTATTCAGAGCACTCATCCCTGGATATAATAAACATACTTTCGTACAGAGCTCTTTTTATAAACCTTCTGATGACAATAACGTTTGTTAAAATAGCCAAGAGGAGAAGTAGAAGAAAAAGAACAGAAATAGAAACACACACATACCTGAGACATTGTTGTCCGGTTATCCAAACAACTACTTGCCTTCTTACTTACAAGTTCCCAGAGAGCATGGGGTCTGCTCATCTTACAGTCCCAACTAAGACGTGAACTTAGGAGACAAAGTAACACCACCCCAGGCTTTAAACTTCATCTTCATTGATCCAGGGCAAAGATTATCCATTAATGACACCAAAAGCTGAAAGACCAATGTGGATGCTAGCAGAGAGAGAAACAGCTGAGCCAGGAGCCGGTGGCTCACCAGGCCAGCTCGGTAAGTCAGCAAAGTTCCTGTGAGACTCTTATCTCCAATTAACCACCAGAAAATGGGGCTGTGGCTCAAAGTGGTTGAGCACTAGCCTTGGGCAGAAAAGCTCAGGAACAGAGCCCTAAGTTCAAGTCCCATAACCAACAAAAACAACAACAACAACAACAAAAGGAACAACTGACCCCCTAAGAAGCCCTGGAAGTCAACTTCCACACTCCCAGTGGACAGTGAGACCATCTGTAGGCCACATTCCCAGGGGAGCACTGTATTTAAATGACAACCTTAGAAGACAGAATGTAAAGAAGGGGAAATGATGGGATTCCTTAATAAGAAGGGCTGTGGCAGGGAGGGGCCAAATGTCACGACAATGGAAACAAATTCGTTGTAAACAAATCAGGGATACCTGAATTCCCACTATCAGATGGCATCAAAGAATTTAACTAGAGTTGCCAGAGGGACACCGGCAAGGTGGGGAAGGTCAGAAATTACTGAGGATTCCCATGCGCAGTCAGGTATGTTGAAATAAAATGACAGAAGTGCAACGAATTGCTCCAACACAAGTCAGCACCAGTCACAACAACACAGAATGAAGGAGGCTGAGGCGAGACAAAATCCTCATTAATGAGGGAACTTGGATGTGAGCGAGGGCGACGTGGAGAGGGAAGATCCCTACTCTCCGATCCACTCCATCTCCGTTTGAAAATGTCCACAATTACATCAAAATAGCCAGACACTGGTGGATCAAGCCTCTAATTCTACTTATTCAGGCTAAGATCTAAGGATCATGGTTCAAAGCCAACCTGGACAGAAAAGTCTCTAAGACTCATCTCCAATTAATCAGAAAAAAAAAAAACCAGAAGTGGAGATGTTCCCCAAGTGGTAAGAGTACCAGCCTTGAGCGAAAAAGCTAAGCGAGAAGGCCCTGAGTTCAAGCCCTACTATGGACAGGCGCACAAAAAATGTAACAAAATAGCCAACCACTGCTGGCTCACACCTGTAATCCTAATTAGTCCAGGAGGCTGAGCTCTGAAGATCCAGGTTCGAAGCCAGCCTGAGCAGAAAAGTCTCTCTTATCTCTAATTAACCATAAAAAGTTGGGCATTGAGGTATTGCTCAAATGGCAGACCACTAGTCTTACAAGAAGTCCTGAGTTCAAGGCTTGTACATACACAGCACACACACACACACACACACACACATACACACACACACTTATAAATCCTTATCTACTAAAGTCCTTTAAGAGAGAAAAACAGATGCAAAACTGTCTATTTTCTCTTGACTAAGTGTTCTTGATGGGAGCTCAGCAGATGGAAAGAGCACAGAGAGGTATTGCTTCTGAGATCTTAAACCTGGCCACAAGTCAGAAACACATGGGAAGCTGATCTGAAGCTTCCCAGTTTCCAAACCCACCTTGGCAGCAAGCTCTCCAGAGAGAAGCCTGAGGAATGGTAATGGTTTCTGAGTGCCACTGAGATTCTATTGCAATGCAGTGTCTCCGCTCCTGCAGCCCAGCCCAGCAACTGTCCAACTGTGGTCCAGCAGGGTGTGTAATCTAAGCGAGCCCTCAGGACCAGCATCACACAGGACTCCATGTTCTCAAAGCGCTGCCAAACTCAACTGTGTTCTCCATGTTTCCAAAAAAGTAGAATGGCTAACTGAACGCACACAATAAGGCAAGGCTCCTGTTCACCTCTTCCTCGCACCGTCAGTGAATTTCTCAGCAGCATTTGTGTGTATGTAGTCATTTGGGTTGAGGCTGAACTTCAACATGGGAGCTACTGCCAAGTAAAATTCCCTGGGAAAAAAACAAATGTAGCTGGGGAGCCCCAGGGACTCTCAGTGGGCAAAGTATCAGGGGGAATACCTTCCTCTTTACTCAGAGCCAGGGAAGAAATCCCAGGCGAAAAGTCCAGAACTAGGACCACTGAAGTACCCTGGCCAGCCACAGCTGAGCCCAAGGACTCTGAGAACACCTGAGGGTACGGGGCAAGTGGTGCCCTGCAGAGCGGCCACTAGCTGTCCCCAGAGTGACCCAAGGAAAGGAGAAAGAGGAAAAACTCACATGGACTAGTTTTGATCTTGGTGGGAACAAACTCTCACCCACAAAGCTGGTAACTGTCCAGAAACATGTCAATACAAGCCAACAGGGCCAAGAAGCCAAGACTCAATTTTTCATAAATTAGCAATCTCAAGTCCAAAAATATAAAGCCACTCCCTTTCCACACTGACAGTATCAGGGTTTGCTCAGACTGACAACAAGCACCCTTCCAACATGACTCCCAGAATGCAGTGCAGGCCGGGGCCAGGGAGGGGTGGGGCAGAGCTTCTCCAGGTGAGCCAAGGCTGGGTGGTGAATAATCCCCCTGCCCCCTTCTGAGTTGGTCTTGTCTTTAACATTTCAGAGTGTGCATTTGCTAAATTACTTTTATGTGCACCGGCTTTATGTCAAACCCAGAGACACAGGCATGCTGTGGCTTGCAGAACCGTTTACTCCAAACTACAAGCCTTGCTTACCAGTGACAGGCCACTTTTGAGGGGGAAAAGGAGAAGGGGAGATCCTGACCAGCCCTCTTCCTCCTCCTCTGCATTCTAAGTCTACAACTGCTTCCATTTCTTGCCTCAAGGACCAGCCTATACAGAAGCAGTTAATACTACAACCTAGTACTTTACAAGAGTGAATCTCTTCAATGGTTCTAGAATGATCGTAAAAGCACTCAGAGCCAAATCCACAGGTTTCTCTCCAAATGCCCTCATCTGAGAAAAGGGGGGACATGAGTGGCTGGGGTCAACAGAGGGCTCTCCTGGTGCACAACTCTCCCCCTCACTGACAGAGGTACACCTTAACATCTACACAAGGACCTGGGAAAGGAAGGCACAGCAGACTCATGAATATTCATATCTGCTATCTCCAACCAGGCACCACCCACACCAGTGATCAAAGTCAAGACTTCCGGGTGGTCATAACTTTCCTCTTTCCTGGTACCGTGGCTCCTGCGCCCTCTCTTCATTTCCCCATTTTCAAACTTTGATTGACAGACAGCATTATGGACAAACATGACCCATTTGAGAGAAGAAACACAGCCACTCCACTTCTTCTTCCTGTTCTTCCATGTCAAAGACAGCTAGAATATTCTTGGGCACTGAGGAAGGTATTTTTAATGTATGTGTCTGTATGGGTCCTGGGGCTTGAACTCAGGTCCCTGGTGATGTCCTTGAACTTCTTTTGTTCAAGGCTAGTGCTCTACCACTTGAGCCATAGCTCCATTTCCAGCTTTTCTGATAGTGGAGATAATAAGAGTCTCACAGACTTTGCTGCCAGTGTTGGCCTCAAACAGTAATTCTCAAATCTCAGCCTCCTGGGTAGCTAGGTTTATAGGCATGGGTCACCAGGCACCCTGCGAGAAAGGGATTTTTGAACAGAAAGAAATAAACGAGTCCAACCCTCCTGGACCCATTCTGAATAGTATTTTTAGTCCAAACCTGAACATCAACAAGCCAAAAAGCAGACAGACTCCCCCAAACCCCCAGCCACACACAGCAGCAGCCTTAAGAAGAAAGGCAGAGGAACAGACACAGGAACAGAAAACTCAGTGGAAGGAACTTTTCCTGGCAAGGATTTTTAACTCTGTGACATCACAGTTCTGCTTTCTAGCTTGGCAGATCCCATCTCCAGGGCACCTCTTTACATGCCTTAAAAGCAAAATGTGAACACTGTCTTCTCTCAGCCTGTAACAATGGGCAGAGCTCAACCTTTATGGTCAAAACTTCAACCTTCTTTTGTGCCAGTTCTGGGGCTTGAACTCAAGAGCCTAGCCACTGCCCGTTAACTTTTTTTCACTCAAGGTTGGTAATCTTACCACTTGAGCCCCTCCTCCCCCATCTCCACTTCTAGCGTTTTGCTGGTTAACTAGAAATAAGAAGTCTTGGGGCTGAGAACGTGGCTTAGTGGTAGAGTGCTTGTCTAGTATGCATGAAGCCCTGGGTTCCATTCCTCAGTACCACATACACAGAAAAAGCAGGAAGTGGCACTGTGGCTCAAGTGGTAGGGTACACCAGCCTTGAGCAAAAGCAGCTCAGGGACAGTGCCCACTTCCTGAGTTCAAGCCCCAGGACTGGCAAAAAAAAAAAAAAATCTCATAAACTTTTATGCTTTGAGCTCCAATCCTTACATCTTAAGCCTCCTGAATGGTTAGAATTACAGGTGGAAGCCTCTAGCACCCAGCAAGATGCAACACCAAAGTGAGCTGAACAACCGTGGGAACAAATTGGACCTGCCAACCACTGTTGTGTAATGATGGGACCCCCCCTCAACAGACACAAACTCCAAGAGGGCAAGCTGAATACAGAAGTTGTTCACTGCTAATAAATAGAACGAAATCCATTTGTCACCGCTGCTTCCGTTTTAATGCAGAAAGCTCTTAAATTGTAACACCAACACCAACACCAATCCATTCAGTTGCAGACACAAAAGGGCTTACCTGACTCCTCTCTTTGTCCACTTTTTTAAAACACTTATTCAATGACAAATTATGTCTCACTGAGTTTTTCCACCCAGTCGGTGCATTTGCAAAATACGGGAAATGTTCCAAGATCCAGTTGTAGATATCTTTCACTGGCAGACGCTTGGCTGGCGAGTCCTCAATGGCCATAAATATGAGGCAGCTGAAGGAGTAAGGGGGCTTGCAGTTGGGGTTCTGCCTGGCATCGTAGGGCATGTCAGAGTGGGCGGGAGACGGAGGGGTGTCATCGTCCAAGTCCTGGACGGGGCTGACACTCCTGAGGACCGGCTCCCCGAAACTCTTCAGTAAGTTCTTGCTCTCGTGCAACCAGTTCAGGTTTGTGAGCTCCTCATCTTCCATGGTCCCCTCTTCTAGTCTGATGTCAGGCAGAGAAAAGTCAAGGTCATCGTCTTCCTGAAGGGCCTTGGAGAAACTGCTACCCCGGTAACACTGACTCAGTCCACTAGACACACTGATTCCTGAGCTTTCCGGCTTCTTACTGGCAGGCATAACTGGACCCATTTATGTGAAGGCTCCTGGGAAAGAGGCGGGGAAGAAATGAGGAACAAGTGAACCGACACAGAAAAAGGCAGCTAGGAGGTCTCCTAATTCCCTCAGCCTCCTCAGCTACCTAGGAACCCAGGAAAGCTCACAATCCAACCACCTAGCGATCCACGAGAAAAAATGTAGTCCACTAGGCACAGAGTACAGTGCCCTGATGTTCCTTTAAACAAGACAGCCAGGTGCCAGTGGCTCATGCCTGTAAGCCTAGCTACTCCGGAGGCTGAGATCTGAGGATTGCAGTTTGAACCCAGCCCAGGTAGGAAAGTCTGTGAGACTCTTATCTCTAATATAAACTACCCAGAAAAAGCCAGAAGTGGAGCTGTGGCTCAGCATTAGCCTTGAGCACAGAGCAGCTCAGGAAGGAACAGTGCCCAGGCCTCAAATTCAAGCCACAGGACTGGAACAAAAATTAAATACATACATACAGCACCTTTCATGTGCAGGTATGTCATGAGAACAATTAGCAGTTTCACAATGGCTTCTCTCTGTGACCAGGGAAAATCAATTATTCCTCTTGCTTTAGATTCATTATATGCAAATACATAACCTTTACAATTCTCTAAAGGTTCATGATAAACAGCAAAATATATATGCAATACAAAACAACTCCTTTGGCTCTGTTACACATCTCAGTTTTTTATCCTTTGCAATAAAAGAATACACTAGCCAGCAATGGTGGTGTGCACCTCTAATCCAAACACTTAGGAGGCCAAGACAGGAAGATTTTGAATTTAAAGTCTACCTGGGCTACACAGGAAGTCTCAAGACAGCCCAAGTCCCTGTCTCAATTTTTTTTTTCAAATGCACCAGCTCAGGATTGTACTCCTAGCTATTCAAGAGGCTGAGAGCTGAAGCTCTTATCTCCAATTAATCAGCCAAAAGCCAGAAATAAAGGCATGGCTAAAGTGGCAAGGTGATAGCTATAAGCAGAAATAATTGAGTGTGAGGCCCTGAGTTTTTAGCTCTGGTACTGGCTCCCCCATCAAAACAGAAAGGGAGGGAGGGAGGGAGGGAGGGAGGGAGGGAGGGAGGGAGGGCCAATTATTTCAGATTACTTTCAGCCATCTCCATAAATGAAGACCATTATAAAGGCCTCGGAATTTAAAACTGTAGCCATAAATACCACTGATTTGGTTGTTTCTTGCCAGTGTGTATATGTGTGTGTTGGTACTGATGCTTGAATTCAGGGCCTAGGGACTATCCCCTTAGCTTTTTTTAATGAAGGATAGCACTGACTAATTGGAGATAAGAGTCTTACGGATTTAAATACCTCCATCCTCAGATTTCACCCTCCTGAGTAACTAGGATTATAGACCTAAGCTACCAGTGCCTGCTTGGTTTTGTTTTGTCTTGTGTTGTTTTTTGGTGAGTCACAGGGCTTGAACTCAGGGCCTGGGTACTGTTCCCGTGCAAACTTTTTTCTGTCGACAGCTAACATTCTACCACCTTGAGCCACAGAACCACTTCCGGTTTCCTGGTGGTTAATTGGAGATGAGAGTCTCACCAATTTTCCTGGCCCAGCTGGCTTTGAACCACTATCCTCAGATCTCAGCCTCCTGAGCAGTTAGGATTACAGGTGTGAGAAATCAACACCTGGCTTAAAAAAAATGTTATTATAGGGCTGGGAAGGTGGCTTGGTGGTAGAGTGCTTGCCTTGCATGCATGAGCCCTTGGGTTCGATTCCTCAGTACCACATAAGGAGAAAAAAAGCTGGAAGTGGCACGTGTGGCTCAAAAGTGGTAGGGCGCTAGCCTTGAGCTGAAGAACTGAGGGACAGAGCCCAGGCCCAGAGTTTGGTCCCCACGACCGACCTATATATATTATAAAGGTGATATAGCTCGATTACAGATTCCTAAGTCAGGCCACTGTACATTACTTTCTTGGACAATGTCACCCCTTTCTTTTCTCCCAGTTTTTCGCTCCCATCCCCACCAACAAGTTATATAGTTCATTTTTAGTGTAGTGTGCAGAGTACTACTGCTACATTTGTTCACCCTTTGTCACACCCTTTGTGCCCCTCCTCCTCCCAAAGAGAGATAAATGAACAAACAAGACCAAATAAATTTTTTTTTAAAAAACCTCACTTCCATTTCCTGAAATTCATTTCAAAAAATAATATTTTATATGATCAAAGGCACCAAAACTCGTGTTCAAAAACTGCAACTTAAATTTCATCTTCAAGTTTAAAAAGGGTGACAGAAATTCTATGTATTTCAACTTGAGAAATACATTAAATTTCATTAGGCAGACTGCAGCTACAAGTAATTTCATGCACTCAACAAATAAATGGGAATGAAAGATAAACAACTAAAATTAGAATTGGTAGGAAGAAAGTTGCTCTCCTGATCAAAACAGGAAAACAAGCTCAACAAAAAGTGTTACAGAATTCTACCCTCCCCACCACACACATCCTCATTTTTATCAATGACCTAGAACAGACAGTAAAAGAATATCTGATGAGAAAGGAAAGTGAGGCGGCAGCAGCTCCACAAATGGAATGGTCCCTACATATAGTAAGCTTTCCCACTCTCAGATCTAGCACTCAATGCAAGATGGACAGTTGTCCACTCTGCAGAGCTAAACCAATGGGCTTGGCTTAGCTTATAAAAAGATTGTCTGCCTTGGGTTTTTTCTCTCCCTCAAAGAAGATCAAGACATCTACCTAAAAAAATGAATGAAACATAAAAAGCAAACATGATTATTCTAAGCCTCGACATATCCATTTACAGTAATAACTGTTACTTCCATGCAGAAAGTTCTAGAATGGAATTCTGGAAAAGAATAAAGTGGGTACCAACCCATCAGCCAAGGATGTCAGTTGGTTGTAGCACCATCCTTCACCCTAAGGCAGATAAAGTTTCAGGTGCAGGTAACTCACACCTGTAATCCTAGCTACTCAGGAGCCTGAGTTCTGAGGATCATGGTTTCAAGCTAGCACAAGCAGGAAAGTTCATGAGACTCTTATCTCCAATTAGCCACCACAAAGGCTGGAAGCGGGGGTGTGGCTCAAGATGCAGAGTGCAAAAGAAAAAGCTAAAGTTTAAGCCCCAGTACTGACACTGACACTCACTGATACTCACACAACATCCTCTCTTCTCTCTTCTCCTCTCTTCTCTCTCTCTCTCTCTCTCTCTCACACACACACACACACACACACACACAAACAGATAAGAGGTACACACACACACACACACACAGATAAGAAGAGGTAGATAAGCAACCAGCTTGGAGGCAACATAGTCCAACCCAGGCAGAACAGTCCATGTTTAAGAATAACATAAGCTTGCATCTTTAGGTTTGGGGACACGAGAGAGTATATAGCCTGATATGGCTCTTAACTTCTTTATAAATGAATAAAAGTAAGCTTGCTTCAAAGTTACTCAGATCCCATCAGAAAATGTTCTGATTATGAGTATATCCGTACCACAGAGCATAAATGAGAACTACCTAGACACTGAAGTCAACTTTAGCTCCAAATGAAAGTTATATGTCTCCAGTGCTTCCAAACAGGAAAATTGTATCATGGCTGACAGTAATTTAATTGCATTGTTGCTATGACAACATGCTGCTCTCTTTCTTTTTAATTTGCTTATTTGTCGGTAGCTTCCCAAAGGAACTAACATGCTATTCTCCATGTTTTCTTTTGTTTTAAACAAATACTGCTGAAAATGTGGTTTTAACAGAAAAACAGCCCTATCCAGAAAAAGAGGGGTTATGCATAACTTGGGATCATTCCCCTCACCCTTCTATGCTATTTACTGCATCCCGATAAATCTTGTGTTTTAAAGTAACACTGTAGTCCATAGCAGATTACTATAGTTCCATGTCAAAAAGAAAGAAAAGAAAAAGAAACAGTTTCCAGAAGCCACTGCTCAGGACTTTTCCATTATTTCACTCTAGCTACATGTTCGCCAAATCTTTTCTTCCTCGTTTTTTATTTTTGGGGGGGGGAGTAGATGTCTGAATCATGTGACCCTACAGTTAGGCAAGCATTTTAATCTGATGCCAATGAAGTTGCTCTACCAGATACGCAAATAGTTACTCACTTGGTGACCTCTTTACAACTTTTGGGTTCGTTATTGGAAATGTTCTCAACACACACACACACACACACACACACACACACACACCTTTTTTTTTTTTAATGAATTGCAGAGTTGTTATTTTAATGGAGAAAATGGAGCAGGAAAAGCTTAATCTCTAGGTTACTAATCTGAATGTCCCTAAACAACTGACAAAGACATTATGGCCCAGCTCTGAGCAGATGTTCGATGTGAACTTTAAAAAGTTGAGAAATGCTCCCCAAGCGGAGCTGGGCAGTGTAGTTTGTGGGGGGCGCGGGACCGCCCCACTCCGTGCGCGCACGCGCGCACACACGCACGCGCGCCGCTCAGTCTACTGTACTTGTCAAAAACATTTCAAGGGGACCAGCGGGAGCAGCGATTGGCCGCGTCCCGCGTCAATCAGCGGCGTTGCCCAGCAACGAGGAAACTGCTCTTCTCCGCGAATTCAGGGCAATCCGGAGCTCGCATACCTTCACTGCCGGTCAGATGTCATAAACCTTTTATTGGCCGCACAGCGGTGAGCCTTAAAAACAAATCAATAAAAGCCCGCCGTCCCCCCCAACTCATCCGGAGAGCCCAAGAAGGGCTTCAAGACGTGGGCTGAGGAGGGGTCGGGCCTCGGGGGTCTCTGGAGACATTCCCCGCGGGTGCCAGGCTTGCACAGTTTGGGGGGGTTGGGGGGCGGGTGGGATCTTTGTTAGGAGCCTGATTCTCATCTTGGGGGCTCTACTTGGCCGGCGCCCCCTTCCAGACTCGGATCGGCGGGGATCCCATGCTCCGCAGACAATACCAACTCTGTTCCTCTGGGGCGTCTTTGCGGAAACCGAGGCACAACCGAGAAACAACCCGCACGTCGGGGCAGGAAACTCTCCAGCCCCGGCAACTTCCCGGCTTCGGGGCGGAGGGGG